TAATTCCCTAGGGCCTTATTTATCCCCCTTTTAAGAACAACACTGTATTATCTCTTTTCCAATTTTTTGAAACCTTACCTGACCTCCCTGAGTCCTCAAAGATAATAGCCAAAGCCTCCACAATTACTTCAGGCCAATTCTTCAAGTACTCTAGGACGGAGCTCATCAGGCCCTGCTGATTTGAAGATATCTAACTTATCTAAGTAATCTCTAACTTGCTCTTTCCCTGCTATAGACTGAGTATCTACCCTCCTGTCCTTGATGCTAATTGTGATCATCATCTGATATTTGACTTCTTTTGTGAACACTGAAGAAAAAAAGGCTTTAACCACTTCAGCCTTCCAGCCTCACCTATTATCAACATCCATCCCCATTCAGTAAGAGAAAAGTTCTCTCTCCAGGAACTTTAAAAACACTGTGTGACTCAGACAACACTCTGTTACATTAAGCGCAGAATTCTTCTTGAATTCCCTCTGCTCTTTCAGATTTGATGAAACTTTCCTGTTCCTTAAGTTGAAATAAGACAGTTCATAAAAACTTGCTCTCTGAAGAGTCTGTCACCCCCAACCTATCACTAGCACCTCAGATATCTGCATAATCAGTTGCAACTGCAGATCTTCTTCCTTTAGTTTCTCTTTCTCCCCTTCCTATGTCACACTGTTTCTAATACTACAGACTCCCACGTCTTAGCAATGGTTACATGCTGGTCTTCAGCATAACTCTCAATGACTCCTTTTCTCTGAATCATTCCCAGTCCAGGTTTACTCCTTCCCCAATATTGGGAAAAATAACAATGCTAAAAATATGGCCTTTGCAGGCACATTCAGATGAGCATGCATGTGCAGAAGCATGCATTTCCCAAGGGATAAATAGTAGGGCTGTGCAAAATTTTGCTGGCTGTTTTGTTTCAACACTGTTTTGACTCATTTTGAGGGCAATGAAAACATTTAGAGAGTTTCAAAATGTTTCAAGGTTCAAAGCTGGGCTTGCTTGCAGGGGAACAGAAGGTAAGTAGAGGGAGGCAGAAAAGGAGGGAAGGACTGCTCTGATATTGACTATGTAATTAGCCAGTGACTGTCATCCTTCCCTGAGGTCCCTTCCAATCCCAGTGGTCTGGGAGGTGGATGAAAAAACAGCATAAAAAACAGCATTGTTTGAACTGAACTGCTTTCTGCCTTGGGGTCAGTTACTGAGCTTTGTCTTCCAGCAGCTCAGCAGCATCATACCACAAAGGCTATCATTCATTTCCTACTTGCTAGCCTAGCAAGTGGGATTCGTCAATACCTTTTGCTTTCATACCCTTTTTTATTGTTATTATATTCATTCATTCCTTTAAATTTATTCCTTCCCCAAAATCCTCTTTTCGTTTTTGTTAGTCAATTTTGATTCTTTCCCTCCAGAAAAGAAATCTGAGTTCTCTCTCACAGTGTGCATTCCATTTACTGTGCAGGGAAGCACAACATATATTGCATATTATAATATAGAATGTATTCAGGAATACATACTACATACATTTACATATTTTATTTGTTATGTAAATACATAAATACATTACATAAATACACATACATATACAACTATCTACATATATTACATACGTCAGATTACATTACAGAAGAACACACAGATTTTCCAGCAGAACAAGGCAAAGACACTATGAAACACATCATAAAGTATGCTGGAAAGCAGCTGGAAGGCATTCAGGGAGAGGCAGAAGAGGGGGTAGAGGGAGACCTGTAAGTTTCCCTCCCTGCCCTGAACTGAGTTGCAGCCTCTTTGCTACAACAAGCAGGCATGAGGCTTCCAGTTCTACAGGCAGCAAGGATAGGGGAGCAGTGCTACTGCCTGTGCTTGAGTCTGCATCCCCTCCAAGAGCACCAGCCGTAACCCCACCACCATCACCACCATGACAACAAGCAGCAGCACCAGCATGACAGTCTCCTCCACCCCTATTTCACTTCCCATGCTGAGCCAGTGCCACTGCCTGTGCCCAAGACTGCATCCCCTCCATAAGGACCAGCCATAACCCTGCCTACTACCACCATGATGGCAACAACAAGCAGCAGCAGCACCACCAGCACAGCAGTTTACTTCACCCCTACTTCACTTCCCATGCTGAGCTGTCCAGTGCCAGATGAAGAACTGGAGCTGGATCTGGATCTGTGTGCCATAGCAAGGTAAATTCTGGGGAAGGAAGGGAAATCATCTGAGTTTGTGCTCCACACCCTTCAACTTTCCCTTAGAGCCAGGACTCCTTCCCCAGAAGGCACTTTGGAGGAGGTTGAGGTAGAGGTTGTGGAGGCAAGTGGCTCAGTTGAGTCTATTCTTCCTGCTGCTATGCCTCTGCCTGTTGAGGAGGGGGAAAAAGGCAGCATCTGCACATGCACTCACACCCCAGAAGTGAGCAATTAGTGTGGTCTGGGATCATCTTGAGCTGGCAGATGATCCCACATATGCTATCTGCCTGCACTGCCAAGCCAAAACCAGCCAGGGCAAGGGATCAAAACACATGAGAACCACAGGGGTGCTGATGCATCTTAGCAGGTGCCACCTCCTTGCCCTTTCTCCTCCTCACCCTGGCACCCATGGAAGCATGCCCAAAAAGAAGTCCCCCTCTTGCTCCAAAGCACCTGTTCCCCTGAAGTAGATGCAGGCTACCCTGGAACAGTGGGGGAAAGGCGGACAGAAAGGGGGGTGCGTTGCAAAGGCAAGCGAGATCATTCAGACCATTGGGGAGATGCTTGCTGTGGATGGCCAGCCTTTCTTCTTAGTTGAGCGGCCAGGGTTCAGGCAGCTCATGGCACTCATAGCCCCATCATACCAAGTTCCCTCCCCTATGCCCTCCAGACGCACCACCTTCAGCAAGACGGTGGTGCTCTCCCTGTATGAGGCATGCAGGGCATACTTGAGGGAGGAGCTAAGCAAGTCAGGTCTGCAGGTGCCCTTACACTTCACCTCAGACTTCTAGAGTAGCCGGGGTGGAGATCCTGCATACTTCTCCCTCACAGGGCACTGGTGCAACCAGTCAGGCTGTCAGTGGACCCTCTTTCAAGCCAAAGTGAAGGATGAGTCCCACACGGCTACTGAGATCATGGGAGCCATGAACCACTTGGTGCAGGGGTGGCTTATTGGGCAGGACAAGCTCACCTGTGGGTTCATGGTCACCGACAATGGGGCCAATATGATCAAGGCAGTCTGTGATGCCAAATTTGTTGGCATCCTCTGTGTGGCACACAAGTTCCACCTCATTGTCAGGGACACCTTGGAGGGGGACAGGGCTTCCGGTGACAGTGCCAGCTCATTTCCAAATGCAGGAAGGTGGCAGGCTACTTCCACTGGAGCATCAAGGGAGGCAAGATGATGCAGGACAAACAAGCAGAACTGAACATCCTGCAGCATAAAATCATGCAGGATGTGGAGACTCAGTGGAACTCCACATACCTGATGCTCAAGAGGCTGGTGGAGCAACAGAGGGCCATCCATGGGATGGCCTTCTTGGGGAGATTAGGATCAGCAGCCCCCTTAACAGAGCTGAGTGAGATACCATCCCTCACATCTTGGTGGTCCTCAATCCATTCCTCAAGGCCTCCAAGACCCTGAGTGCTAGTGATGCCCTCCTTAGCCAGGTGATCCCCATAGTGAGGGAACTTCAGAACCAAGTTCCAGGGGATCAATGTTCCTGGCTGGGATAAGCCGCTGTCGCCAGACATGCAGGCACTGATGGGGTGGTTGAGGAGGGCATCAGGCAATGGCTTGATCCCTTGCAATCCAGTATGGTCCATGTGCTGGGCGCCATGTGTGACCCATGGGTGAAGGGAGGCAGAACGGTGGAGGCAGGGGGACATGGAAGAGGAGGATTCACTGCCAGCATTCTATCCACCAGCCAGTCTCCTCCTCCACCAAAGGCACTGCCAATGTGGGCCAAGGGCATGGCTTCCATGGTGGGATCCAGAGGCACCAGACACCACCATCAGGCAGGTAGCACTTAGGCCTTGGTGGCTGCCTATCTCACCGAGGATGTGGAGCTGCTGCTGTGCAATGTCTTGACCTACTGGGCAAGCCACAGCCCGATGTGGCTGAATCTGGGCACAGTTGCCTGGGAACACCTGTCTTGTCCATTGACAAGTATTTTAAGTGAGAGGGTGTTCAGCATTGCTGGTGATGTAGTGACACCCCTTCTTGGATCCTGGTTTGGTGGAGCAGCTGGTATTCCTCAAGGTGAACTTCCCATTTTTGGGGTTCTTTAAGCTCCAGGTGCAGATGGAGTGAGCACCACCCTCCTTGCTGTGCCCACACCTATTTCCTTTCTTCAAAACCATTTAATGCCCTGCTGTCAGAACTGGAGGTGGTACTCACTGAATCACCAGCCAGCAGGGGAAGAACACATCCATGATGGGATGAACTTGGAGGTATGGGCTGGGGCTATGGGGAAGGAGAAGGCCCCGGGTCCTGGGCATGACCACTAAAACTGGACTCTGCCAGGGTTAGGAGGCCTGCTGGGACTGCCGGTGGTGCGGCAGCCCCAGGAAATGCCAGGACCAAGGATCTCCCTGGTGAAAGGTGGGTAGGAGGTGCCATAGCCTCCAGCCACCACACACATGTACACAGTCCTGGCTAGGGAAAGCCCAGACCCGTCACATCTTTGACAGGCCTGATGCTTGCTAGTTGCAGTGGAGTTGAGAAGCTCCGGGTGAGCTCAGCTTAGCTGCCTGGGATGCCAGTTTTTGGGTTGAAAAACCCTTTGTCAGGTTGAGGAAGCACCTGCAGTTGGTGTGTGTGCTCTTCCTGGATGGAAGGAATAGTAAAAAAAAACAAAACAGAGGCTGGCATACAATGTAGGCAAGAAAGCCAGGCAGTGAAAATGGAAATGGAGGCATTAGGGGATGAGGGACAGACTGGGGGGAGGGAGGGGTGAGGGGGGATGTAGCAGCGCAGGTAAAAGTGGAGAGGTACCTGGGGAGCCAGATGTCTGGCAGGTTGTAGTGTGTCAGAATTCCACTGTCTAGATTGAGTCCATGAGTTTCTGTATGCAGGAGGTTGATGAAGTGCAGTTCATAGGCTCATCTGTGAAAAGTAGTTTGTACATTCACTGTGCTGCAAATTAGCAGTGCAGTGAACAGATGCATGTCCACTGCATGTGGTTTGAGCATTAGTGGCCTTAGAGGAGGGCAAATTGGGCAACTGCCCAGAGCCCCACACTTTAGAGGGCCCCAAAATTTTGCAACAAATTTTTTTGGGGTCAAGTTTGTGCAAGGAAGTGGCTCTATTTGCATTTTAACACTTGACTATTTATCTAATTACCCCAAAGAATATTAAAAAGATCCACAATACATAGGTCATCAAAAGTAAGCCTCTAAGGGACCCCAAATGACTCTCTTAACCAGGGCCAAACCATAGGACCACCACTAGTTTGAGGCACCGCAAACCGCATGTGTGCGCTTGTCAGGATGTTCCCTGTGAGTCCTGCAGTGCTGCTTCTAACATTTTCACACTTTGCCACAGGGAAGGCAGAAAGATACTCATTCCCTATTGTGCCATACCACTGGACATAATCTACACACATACTATGTCTAATTGAAGTCCCTGATGTCCTCTGCATGAGATCCATAGTACATACTTTTTCTCATCCCATAACAAGCACTGAAGTTCTCAGTAGAATCACCAGTGTGTGTCTGTTCAGGATCTAAATAAAATATACTGGGGAGATTTTACACTACTAACCAACTGCCCATCAAGAATGATGTGGTGGGCAGGGACAGAGGTCTGTGTCCATCCCCCCCACCCCCCACGTTTTGAGTCTGGCCTTGCTTCCCCCTCCCAAAGTCCAGGCCCATTCCCACGGGTAGACTCCCTTCGAGTCTACCCGTGCTGCTACATCCCCTTTCCCCGCACCCCCTGCTACATCCCTCCCCACCCCAGCCTGTCCCTCATCCCCTGATGCCTCCATTTCCATTTTCACTGTAGCTGCAAGAACACAGGAGATATTAACACACTCACAAGGAAAGAAGATGCTACAGATATGGCAGCTGAAGTGCCCATCAGAAGACAAGCCTGGGCACAAAAATTCGTAGTTTTACTGGATGCTAAAACCACAGACTAAACACAAAGAATGGTTGTTTTAATGGTTGTTAGGCTCATTACAATCTCTATGCTATCACTGCTAACCTCCCTGTACTCCACTGGTAATAATTACCCTCTTCCTTTTTGGATGCTCTTAGTCTTTTACATAATTAGGTTATCTAGTTAAAGTACCATTTACTTGTTTTGTTGCTACTTCTGATAACTTTTCTTTGCTTCACTTCTTATAGCCCTCTCCATTTCTTTAAGTGACTGTTTTCATTTAGATAATTAAGTTAAACATAAGTCATTTTTTTATCTAATATTTAGCTTAGGCTGCCTCTGCCTCTTTCCCAAACTTGAGAAAGGGCACTTGATACCCAAAAACATGTCTAACATGTCTCCCAACTATTTTCTCTCAACCCCTTGCTTCTCCCATATTTCCTAGACAATCATGCCTATAAAAACACTCCAATCCTACTACAAACATCATCTCTAAATTCAGCGTGACAGCCCAACCTGGTCTCCCATGATGTTCTCATGGAAAAACTGTGACTTTGACTACACTACAGTCCAATTGCTAGGGAACTGGCTCCGAGGTCAGACCCAAAGAGTGGTAGTTGATGGAATCAAATTAACATGGCAATCAGTGACCAGTGGTGTCTCCCAAGGCTCTGTTCTCAGACCTGTACTTTTTAATGTCTCTATAAATGATTTGGACTCTGGTGTCAGAAGCAGACTGGCCACGTTCGCTGACGACACCAAACTTTGGGGAAGAGTATTCACACTTGAGGATAGGCTGGTGATCCAGACTGACCTTGACAGACTTGCAAGGTGGGTGGATGAAAACCTGCTGGCATTCAGTACAGAGAAATGCAAGGTGCTCCACCTCGGGGGGGGGGAGGGGGGGCACTTGCTAGCACCATGACTGAAAGAGCTTTGGGGGTCACGACTGACCACAAGATGAACATGAGACACCAATGTGATATCGCAGCTGGCAAAGCGAACAAAACTCTGGCTTGCATCCACCAATGCATGTCAAGTAAGACCCAGGATGTCATCCTCCCACTGTACTCAGCCTTGGTGAAGCCACAGCTGGAGTACTGCATCCAGTTCTGGGCTCCACAATTCAGGAAGGATGTGGAGACGCTTGAACGAGTCCAAAGGTGAGCCACATGCATGATCAGGGGGCAAGAAAACAGGCCTTATGAAGAGAGGCTGAGAGCTATGGGACTCTTCAGCCTGGAGAAGTGCAAGCTCAGGGGTGACTAGGTGGCAGCCTGTAAGTACGTAAGCGGTGTGCATCAGGATCTGGGGGAACGCCTGTTCACCAGAGCACCCCAAGGGATGACAAGAAATTCTGAATGCTTCTTACTTGGATGCTTCCCTGGCTGGCAAGATAAAATTTCCTTCCCCTCACCCACCATTTCTCAAATTATTGCAGACACACAAACCATTTCCAATCTGATGTGCGTTGTGTGTCAATAAACACACAATAATGAATTGTGTCAATAAACAGACTAAAAGCTAAGAATTGTCATGTATTAAGATAGGAACAGATTATATATTTGAGTACACCAAAAATATCCACTAATCTACTATGTTGTAAACTAATTTTTTCTTTAAAAAGGAAAATTTCTACTCCCAGCTTTTATTTTCTAGAGACAACACTTTCTAAAAGGCATGAAAAATCAAAGTGATGTAAAAATGATAGCATAAGAAAGGGACAGTTATTTAATGTACTTGTAAGCTGGTATGGAACATTACTTTGAGTGTCCCTTAATATTAGATACCTTAAAAAATCCCTAAGATGAAAACATATGCCTTTTTACGTGACCCCTTCTGAAATCTTTACGTCAGGATTTTTGATCAAGCCACACTAAAATGCATAGGTAATAACGCTGGATGGTACCCTTAATCCTATTTAGTCTGTGTCAGTGATTCTCAACCTCATTAGACTGAAGGAGCCCCTCAGAAAATGCAGCTCTTAGCTTTTACTAATTTTTTTGGCTATGAAAAAATAATAGAACAATTCTTTTGTTGCAAAAAACTCAGAAAGACTACAACAAATCTGAATGCTTTTGACTATGGATTTCTATTTGAAATCTGTGGGTTTATCTTGTGAATCATGCAGGTATTTGTACAACTAACTGAGCTAATATTGTGTGACATCCCACAGCCCCTTAGAAGGATCTCATGGAACCCTAGGTTGTTGTGAGTCCTGGTTGAGAATCACTGGTCTATACAGTCATCCAGTCATCATTTCTGGAGAAAAAAATCGGCCTATTTTTTTTCATTTTTTTAATTAAATTTCAGTTCATACAATTTAAACAAAAACACAACACATCAAAATGTATTTAAACTAAAATAAACTAAAAAGGCAAAGCATACTTCTTTGTAAACTTCATGGACTCTAGGGCTAAGTATAGACAGTCAAAAAACCTGAGCCTGAATCTATTCAATCTTTGCAGGTTAGACTAAACTGCATAGATTGAACCTAGAAGCAAGTGAATTAACTTTTGATTCCAGAAATATAGCCATAAGCCTGCAGTGGCTCAGACTAGAAGCTGGGGGGTGCTAAAGCAAGTCCTCTCTTCCCTTTGGCAGTGGTGGGAAGGCTGGAGGGAAGCTGAGACATAAGTCCTCCTGGCTTTTCCCCCCGTCCCTGCTTGAGCTGTGGGGGAGGAGGGGGAGGGGAATGGTCTGGCCCCAGAAGGCCCACTGAGTATGATGGGGAGGGGTTTAAACCCCCACCCCCATGGCCTCCACAGACTTCTGCCAGAGTGTTCCTGTTGGCGGAGTGGGAAAACAGCCCCTACCAAGTTTTTTACCTGCTCCCTGCTGGAGTGTGGCGGGGGAGGCATGGCCAGCCCCCAGACTTAGGCCAGCATGTTGAAATGGAGAGGAGAGGAGGATGGTTTAAACCTGCTCTCCCACTGGCATGGGACCCCAGCTGGGGTCTGCTTGGCAGGGGTGAGGCAGCCCATGCCAGGCTTCTCCCCACTCACTGCTTGAGTGGAGGTGGCAAGGGCATAGCCAGACAGCAGCCTTGGGGCAGCACACTGAGGCAGAGGGGAAGGAGGAGCCCACTCTGCCTCAGCATGCTGGCCCAGGGCCTCATCTGGCCATGATCCGCACCCCCGCTGCTTGAATAGTGAAAAGCCTGGCAGGGACTGCTGCACCCTTGCCAGGCAGGCCCTGGGTAGGGTCCTGTGCCAGTGGGAGAGGGGATTTAAACCCCACTCCCTCCCCTCTACCTCAGCATGCCGGCCTAGGGCCAGTGTCTGGCCATGCCTCTGCCACCTCCTCCTCTTCAGCAGTGAGTGGAGCAGACAGAACAGCCAAGCCCAGTCCAGGGCTGCAAAGCATTCTGGGGTGCTAGGATGAGTTAACTTGAACCAGGAAGGGGTCTGGGACAGAAGTTCCATTAACCGCTTTGACCTAAATCAGGTCAACCAGGTTTATCTTAAACCAGTTTCAGCCATTTTGAAAGTGGTTTATGTGCACTGAACTTCTGTTCTGTTACAGGTTAAAACAGTTTCTGATCACTTAAATTGGTTTATGTGTAACTTCTGTCCTGATAGCTCATGATTTCTCAATGCAAAAGTGATTGCTATTTTTGAAGCATATAACACTTATGCTATTAAGTGTAATTTGGAACCTCTTTCTTATGAAAAGTAAAATGCATACCTTTCTAAATATTTTATACAAGATACACTTTTTCTATGGCAGCAGATGTTTGGGGGAGAAACATATTGACAAGTATTGCTAATCTTTAAAGGTATGCTGCATTCAATATTTAAGTCCACAGAATAAAAGTATGAATGAGCTTTTAATATGACAGAAAACTAGATACTCTTTGTGGAATAGTCCATCTCTCAGAGTTAATACCTGCAAGCTTACTTAGCACTTTTGCCTTCTTATTCTCTAGAAATTCCATTTCATCTTCAGTAATTGTTCTCTAAAGAACATAAAATCATCCAAAGCATTCCAGCTCTTACATTTTT